ACGCCGACGGCCAGAAAGGCCCGCGCATCTACATTTTCCCGCCTGACCCCATCAGTGCCGACCCAACTCCACCACCACACGCACGCCTCGCGGCGGATGCGCAGCAGCAAGAAGGTTTCGGTCATCCCTTGAGGGTGAGTCTAGCCCTGCTCGCCAGAAAGACCCCCCCCTTCGCTACAACCCATGTCTAAGCAAAAGCTTGTCGGGGAGCGAGGGGAAGAAGGGAGAGTGTTCGTTTACGAGCATGCAAAAGGGATGCTCCACGAACGTGACGTACCTAGCTAACCTAGTTTCTCATTACCGACGCTGCATATCTGCAATCGTGGGTGTACACTTGATATCAGTTTCACAATCGGGTGTTGCATATATATGTTGCACCCGAACATAGACAACGTTCACGCGTTCACCCACCGCTGATGGGGGAGACATAGCTGAAAGTACAAAAAAATAGTCGTTGATTGAGAAGTCGGGGCGTCGGAACGTTTTGGGATAGGTTAGGCCGCACGCAGACTGCACCATTGCCCCAGGTATATGCGGTGCTCCTGAGGAACGGTGCGAATTGGATGGTGAGCGTTGCGTGTGACTGGGTCTGGTTAAGAAAAGCAATTGTTTTATCCTTGTGGGAGACAAGGGAACAACGAAGCTGTACCGCGGGAAACGCCGGAAGTTTGGTAGTGTTGGATGTATACGCAATACATTACAAGGTGGGAGGGTGGGAGAGGGAGTAACAGCCATCGTGAATTGTTAACCCTCGACTTTGCCGTTGATGTATGTAGAGTTTAGAGTCCTCGACGGACGATGGCGCGAGATATGATGACCTTACCTCCACATTACCGCCCCTCCTCCCGGTTTAGAGCCATATATTCTTGATCGTTTACCTGGTGAAAAGACGACTAGGGAGAGTCGTCCGGCGATAGATAGTAATAATGGTGGGGGTACACTACACGACCCGCGTGTAGCCCCACGATATGTTGTTGCTATTGTCTGCACTAAAACAACCGTTCGTTCCGATCTCGCTACCCAGTCCCTTCATCTGATGTCCGTACTGATCTATCTAGCACTTGTTGTGGTCGATTCCCCTGATCACAGGGGAACCTACTGCTGTATAGTCTATCGGCTCCTATTTTTCCCGCCCTCCGTATAGGTGGGACGGGTCGTAAGCGGAACACGACCACCCCGCTCGGTGATGAATCGATCCACTTTTTTCAAGGCTGGCACAGCCAGCGGACCTCGAGGACATGAAGCTTCCCGCCACTCTGGCAAACACGTTTGTTTCTCTCCTCACTCACCGCGAACGACTTCCAACGCATCCCGTCCATTGGCCTACTATCTCGAACGACAGGACCAGTGTGTAAAACCAACCGCGATCGATGGATCGCGTTCTCTCAAGAATATGGAAGCGTTCGCGCAACCCATCAAAGCACGAGTCAGCTAAAGTCGTTCTTTGCGCTCGGTGCCAAACAGGGCAGCGGGAAGGAGCAACAGCAGCAATCAAATCGCTGCCGCCCTTCGTGTTGGAGGAGGAGGGCATACTGTAACGGCGTAGGCAATGAACGGCCTACCCAGACACAAGTGGCCCCCAGGGGTAAAACTATCCCAAAAAATCGTGCTTCGATGAATAGCTCGTACGTTTTTACGTCGCAACAGAAACGGAATCTTTTCGAAAAAACTGAAACCCCCCATTTTCTGGAAACTGAAACCTCCTGAACGGAGGCTGAAGCAGAAGTTTCGAATCGTACCATTCTATCATATAGTCTTCGTTCATCAGGGCCAACTTGGGCGACGTTGAATTTTGCTCACGCTCTGTCTTGTGGCGTTCCACACGCGCAACGGCGCGCATCCCATTACGCCACAGCACGGCGCGCATCCCATTACAAGGAGTACTAACTAGGTGTGCTGTATTACCACGGAAGCTGGATCTCGACCATACACAGGAGTACTGGTACTAGAGCAGCGCTGTCTCTACCGCGGGTCCCCCTCCTTGTCTGCGGCGTCGCAAAACTCTTCCTCGATCGTGGTGGCCACGGAGGCGAACGAGCAGTCCGAGTACCCCGACCTGACAGTCTCGTCGATCTATTTCTCTCACGAAGGTAAGCACATCGAGAGCAGCGGCAGCACGGCACACATGGGGGCGGCGAGGGAACGGTCGGATGTGGGGTGGTGTGTTGTAGCACTACCATTTGCCGTTCGTAACACGAGAAAGTTGTTGTAGATACACAAGCATAATGAAATGTCGGCATGCCGCCGGGAGTGGATGTCATGCCATGGTACTCAGCGTCACTTACCTGTCAACTACAGCCTCTAGTCGAAAACCGAAAAAAAAAACTGGCCTGCTGCAGTAACAAGAAAAAAACTGGGCGGTTTTATAGGTATTTTTCTCAGTAAACGGCAGCAGCGGAGCAGACTCACATCGCCGTACACAGGAAAGCAAACAGCATCGCATAGCGCGAAGGGGTGTTTGGCACGAACGGGACGGGATAGAAGGTATACAGAGAGAATGGCAATCGATTGGCGGGTTGATGTGCTTGTCGGTACCCTTTGGTCGAATTTTGAACCGAATCGCGACTTGCTCGTAAGCGCGATGGCCGACGTGTGGAGTAAGTGATACCGCACCTTTGAAAAAACGTGACGGGAAAATTCTTCAGGGAGGGCGAGGTCTGCTTACGCCAGACCAACTGAAATTGTGGAACTAAGGCTAAACGACCGATAATATTAATAAAAAAAAGACAGAACGGCGACTAGGAAAAAAATGACAACCGAACCAAATATCTTGTAGTGCCTGGTACCCACAGGAAGTCCAGGCAGTGCTCTGCTAATTCATTGGTACCAAATATCCTAGGCCCTCACCTGTGAATAGAGATGGATTTATAGTAAGAACGATAAAAAACGGAGCACGGTGTATTCATACGTACCTGTGCCCGAGCAGACTCGAGCAGCGAAGAGGACGCACCGCTCTCCGCGGCTGCTCTCGCAAGGATACCGGCGTCCTTGCGGAGGGTCCGGATCGGCGCCAGAGATCTCCGGAGAACCTCGACGTCGTCGCCCGCTTCTTCGACCTTCAGGAGGTCGCCGAGAACTTGGTCGAGCATTCGGCTGCGGTTCGGGTTGCGATTGGACCCGCGGGGAGACACGAGACGGGGGG